GATAGTTCAGCCAAAAATAGACATTTTCCCTAATATTTGCTTATCGTCAAGGGGTTACAAACACTTTTGAGTTTCTTTTTTTTTTGTTGAACACAAAATAAGATATTTTGAAAAATGTTGGAAACCAGTTGACTTCCATAGTATGAAAAACAAATACTGTGGAAGTCAATAGTTATGGCTTTCTTCAAAATATCTGTATTTTTGTTTAAGTGGAAGAAACTAAAACAGAAAATATATTTATTTTTGGATGAACTGGCCCTTTAATAATATGCAATAAGGCTTAAATATTATTTTTAAAACACGCGTTTTATCATTCTGAAAATCTCTTCTGATATCTTTCCTCAAATGTTAACTGTAGTTTTAACTGCGACACAGCAGAGTAGCTGTACTTTTCACATATTTGCTTTGCCGGATGTGGTTTAGCTCGACTCAATTTGAGGCGCTCGCATGTCGAGCGTGGCTGTTTTAGCAGGTCCACCCATTACAAGAAACTCATTCAAGGTTGAATGAGAAAAATGACATTTCAAATGTGTTGCTTTGACAGCATTATATTTCAGAGGAACTATGATGAAGTTCAGCTAAATCTTGCAAAGTGAAGTGTCTAGGGACAGTTCACCCAAAAATGAAAATTCTGTTTATTCTGTCTAATTTGCTTGTCACAAACCTGTTTAAGTTTATTTTCTCTGTTGAACATAATATATATATATTTTTTTTTCTTCCTAAAGTTGGAAACCTGTAACCATTGACTTTCAGATTAGGAAAAACAAATAGTATGGAAGTCAATGGTTACCGGTTTTCAACATTGGTCAAATGAACTTTTTTCTAGTGTTTAACATAAAAAATAAACTCATAAAGATTTGGAACCACTTGAGGACAAGTAAACAGTGAGTAAATATACATTTTTGGGTGAACTATCCCTTCTAATTAATTTTTGAGAAGTCAAAATGAGCATGAAATAAAACTCCATCATCACTGAGCATAACATGTATCTTAGTAAAAATGAGACCTCTACTTATTAAGATAATAATGTGGACATCCAAAATTTGATTACATTTGACATTATCATTAAATTGACTCTTTTAATGTCATTAAATTATTCTTGTCCTAAATATGCCAGACAGGATTTTTTTCTTGTGTAAAACCTATAACAGTCCTTTTAAAACAATTCAACAACATGATAAAAGATGTTTTCAGCTTAATACAGTGTTGTTATTACGATAAATAATAATTTTTCAATGGGTTTCATACATAAATCTTAATTGTCTTTATTCAAAGTGGTTGAAAGCCTATTGAACATTGCAAGAATTTGACTTTAAGACATTTTTATTATTGCATTTGTTAGTTTTTTGTTAGATTTACTACCCGTTGTTTAAATCTTTTTCAAACTTCAGCATTTCAGTGTGTATTTCATAATACACTGTGAAAACTCCTGTTTGCCTTAAATTTTTAAGCTGAATCAAATAAACCTTATGAGTCCATTGAACTTATATTATGTAAACTGACTTAAAACAGCTCACAAAACTTATATAATTAAGTTAGAACATGGTTAACTTTGTTTAATAATTACAATGACATTAAACATATGCTGTCAGGACTAATTGCTCATATAATTTTAAAGATATTTTGGGTTAGCTACAAATACAAATACAGTACACTGGTTAAAAACTTAATTCAGACTTTATTTTGTAAAACAGCACATTTTTTATTCTTTCTTTACTGACAAAGAGCTGGCCAAAAACCAAAACTAATTAAGGTGGGTCACTTGGCCAATGCAATGTGTCAAATATTTACTGCAGTGTTTCATGTATGCATGATTTGCATAAACCTTTAACGGCCTCTTTTTTAAAACTCAGACATCAAATCAACATTAATCAATGACAGCGTTTGGGACAAAATTATTTCAATATATATACAAGAAATACTGATAATCATCAAATGTCATCTTTTTCGGTGGATATTGCTGATGAAGTGTAAGTAATACAGAAACAAAAGCTCAATCCCACAAGGAGATTGAATTCATATAAGAACGTAGGATTTTTAAAAGAAGGCGGGTCTCCAAACCACACCCCTAACCCTACCACTCATTGGGGGATCAGCAAATTGTGCTAAAGTGAATGAATGACACCACATAAATTAACATGAATTTACCACTAAAACAAAAAATTACAAACTGCTATGAGATTGTATTGGAAACAGCACATTTAAAGGCTTTTAAAATCTAAAATACTGAAATAATTATTTAATTATCACTTCATCTTAATACCTGATCTGAATTGTGTTGATTTGGTCATCTTAACTCATTTTAAAATTTGATTAAATTGTACACCACACCAAATATGCAAAATATAAACATCCAAATTTGTGATTTTGTAATGCATAATTTACTCCTAAGTAGACAATTTGGTTATCATTTGCTTCCCATCACGTCATTTTAAATCTGTATATTAATATTTTGTTCAGCCATATTAGTCATGACACAATTAAACATGACACATGCAGAACATTCCAAATCTTTCAGTTACTCAATCCCTTTATGAGGGTTTCAATATTTCAATATTTAATTTTCCAATTTTATATGATGTCAGAAGACTTAAACTAGAGTTTAATTATTGCTGTGATGCATTATTACTTTTGTTTTGCATTCATTACTGTTTTTTTTAATTTGCACTATATGAAAATGAGCATGAACACTCTGCTAAACTTCTCCTTTTTATTTCCACAGATTAAAATAAAGTCATTTGCATTGAACATGACAGCTTTTAAGCTTAATTTTCTTGACTGAACATATCGACTTATAGGCCTCAGTTTTACATGTACTGTAGGCTCTTTTTTTCGATTCCCATCTTCTTTTTGTGTGCGATTTGCATGTACAGTGCTGTCACAAGGATTCTCATCTGGCCTCAAGCCACAACACTTTTATATATAGATGTAGTTTTAGATGCAGCACGTCTCTGTAACTCTCGCGAGCACCATTTTAGCCGGCAAACAAACGAGACACAAAAAACAGCTCAAAATGGAACTAGGAAGTGGTCAGAGGCGTCTGTAGAAAGACATGTCACAGAGCATCATGCAAAAGGGCGAAATCTAAAAGACAGTCAAATGATTATAACACAACAAATTTTTATATATTTCAATTAAATGTAGTCAAAGCACAATTTTATGTCCAAATACACAATGTAGATAGGGATTTATAGACTTTCTTTTAAAAAGTGTGTAAATCCATTGATTTTAAAGTGATTAGTTGAGTTTACTTAAAGAAATGAGTAAACCTGATGGCTTAAAGTTATTAAGTAAATAATCGATGTGGATAATTATACAATATTAAGTTATGTTAATGTAACAATTCCAAGTTACAATGAGTTTACTCACTTTTTTTAAGCAAAGTCTATCAATTTTTACAGTGAAGTAAGTAATCGCTTTTTACAGTGCAGACACAATAATAATGCTGATAATCAAAAACCGTCCATTTTGGTGGACATTGTGTAATAATGTGTTTGTGATGATGTGTAAGTAATACAGAAACAGCAGCCCAATCTCACAAGGAAACGTAACTATTTTACGTATTTTATTATATTATATTTTATTAATATAATATATTTTTGTTAAAATTTTTTAAATGTTGTTTTTAATTCATAAAGATTTTTATATTATATTATATTATATTATATTATATTATATTATATTATATTATATTATATTATATTATATTATATTATATTATATTATATTATATACATGTGTTTGATATTTTTGGCAATTATTATTATTTTTTATTCAACAAAAATACTCTTTATACTTTTATTAATAATGCAATCTTTATTAAAATGCAATATGCTAATCATTTCAACAATTTAATATTTTTATAAATATGGAAACTGCAAGAAATTGAAATTAAATGTAAATTAATATGTAAATGTAATTTAATTTTAATGAATAAAAAATAACATTATGCAAAACATATTAAATAAAATGTATTTTAAAAATAAATTTTACTTTTAGTTTTTATGCTTATAATTAGAATTAGTTTAGTCTTATTTAAGGAAAACACGTGCATTTTAAAGCAAAACTTGAACATGACTTTTTGAGTGAAAATATTATATTATATTATATTATATTATATTATATTGTATTGTATTGTATTGTATTGTATTGTATTGTATTGTATTGTATTGTATTGTATTGTATTATATTAGATTAGATTAGTATAGATTAGATTAGTGAACGTGCAACCAAAAATAGGCTGATGCAATTTTCCCACCAAAATCTCGAGAGAGCTCAACCCGGGAAAGCCATGCATTTTTCTTCACATTAAAAAAATCCCAAAACACTTTACTTTTCACACTCAGAACAACAGCACACCATCGAACAAACAAATGGCCAAAAAAAGCATCCATGCGTGACAGAAGTCTGGATGATTGACTGACAGCTCGGCCAAATCTAGTCTTGAGGGACACACCCAAACCAGCCTGATCTATTACTGATCTTTTGACAAGCTTACGCCAACCACTGTATCAAACAACTACTGTCCTACTACAGACCTCCATTTAAGATCACTTTCAACATTTGACACTTTACTGTCAAATTATTTAAACTTTAAAACCAAAAACTTTAAAAACCAAAAACTTTCAAATGGCTAGGAAGAAAGCCCCATCGTCATTGTGAACGATGGTGAGGAGAAGAAATTCAGAAGAAATAATCAATAATTCAAAATGAATACATTAATTATGTGTGCTGTTTGAGGACACACTCATTTAAGTTTATAGCTTAAATCAATTAATTATACTGAGGAAGATTAAATAAACTAGTTTACAATTCAGACAGATGCTACAAAACACAATCAACACCAAAGTAGGCATGAAATTACGCCACAAGAAGCATGTTAAATGTCAAATGGATCACTAAATAGGTCACAAAAGCCACAGAATACAAAAATTTTTAAGAAACATCATCTATACAACACAAAATGACAAAAATAAAAAATCTCAATTTTTTTTACTTACATAGGACCAAGCATAGGACCAAAACCAAGGGTCCTATCGCAAAAAATCTCGCCATTTCCAAAAGTTCAAACGCCTCTTCTTAAGACACCATATGTCCTGTTTGAAACACACACAGATCTGGGTTAACCATCAGAAAAGCGGCATGCTTTTTTTTCATTGTCCTACTGGGTTTTCATCAAATCTTACGTGTTCTTATGCGTCTGATGGGTCGCTCCTGTTGTCGGTGAGTTTCCACCTTCAAAAAAAGAAATCCTTTAGCTGTTTTTTGTTGGGTCTGGAGACAGCAGAGCCGTGTCAGAGACACTCTCGCCTTCAGCTTTTCGTTAAGGCCCTGTCTTAACAGGAAGTTGCATTTTCATCTACGCCACACATCTCATACTGTGTCATGTCCTTCAAAATGGGAAATGAGAGAAAATTAGCTCATTTTTTGGTGCTCTTTTCCTGTTGCATCCATGGTGAAAGCAGCACCTTTTAAACAAACATCACGTCTAGATGAAGGGGTGAACATTTCATCAACACATGTCATCAAAACAGAAATTATCACATCATTTTGAGGATCAAAGTATCACCAGAACTTACTCGTTTTCTTTAAAACCATTGTATAAGTTCTTCTTCAGATAAGATAAAGAATCTTATTGTTTATTTAAATAATCCTTTAATCAATTTTTATTATTAAATCATTCAAATACTTTTATGTTTTTAGATATTATATTAAAATACTGCACCAAATGTAGATACAGTGCATTCACCAAAATGATGATTTTACATTAACATTTACATTTTATTGCAGCAATTGAAGCAATGTTTTTACTTTACACTTTTTTACTTTATTTAACTGACATATATGTGTTAAAAACTATAACAACGCATTTACTGTCAGATAGGTTAGATATGCGTTAATTCATTTTCTTTAGTTTAAACTGTGGTGCATTGTGATTAGTAAATAAACAAGTAAATGGCTACTTGTTTGATGGAAAAAAAACAATAGTAATGTCTTGTTTTTATTTTTAGGGGCTTAGGGCTATCTTCGCTGCTTGCAGCTATTTTTACAGTATTAATACCATTAATTCACAGCCTGACTCTGTTCATGGCAGTCTGGAGCTCGAGCTGAATTATTATTATATCATGACTTAATAATTAAAAAAATCTTTATTTTATTTATTTTTAGGGGTGTAGGCCCGGTATTGCTGCTTGCAGCTATATTTTTACAGTATTAATACCATTAATTTACAGCCTCAGCCTATTCATTACAGTCTGGAGCACAAGCTGATTTAGAATTACATCCTGATTTAATAATAATTTCTCATATTAATTTTTGGGCAATGCGGTAGTGGTTAGCACATTCGCCTCACAGCAAGAAAGTTGCTGGTTTGAGCCTCGGCTGGATCAATTGGCATTTCTGTGTGTAGTTTGCATGTTCTCTCTGAGTTCACTTGGGTTTTCTCCGGAAGGTTTGAGTGTGCATGTGTGTGCGAATGTGTGAGTGTGTATGGACTAATCCAAATAAATGAATGTTTGTTTTTATTTTCAAGGGCTTAGGCCCGGTATCGCTGCTTGCAGCTATATTTTACTGTATTAAAACCATTACTTCACAGCCCGAGTCTATTCATGACGGTCTGGAGTACACTCTGATCTAAAATTATTTTCTGATATATAACTGCAGTATGTACAGTACATACTGTTTAATAAACTCTGGCAACCTGCAAATATGTCATAAAAACACAGTGCTGGAAACCATTTTGAGAATATACTTATCATTGTTAAAGTTTGGCCTCTTGAATTCTATATAACTTAAGTACAAGTTATAATGCATTTGCTAATGTGTATTCACACTCGTTTTAGCATATATGTGTGTGTTAGTTATGACCATCAGTTTGTATTAATCCTTTTTGAATACATCAAATGGGTTAAAATGGTCAATTTATTATGTGAAACAAATTAGAAGAAAATCAAGTAAAGATATGTTTTACATTTCCAAGAGTAAATATATCAAAACTTTTTTCATTAGTAATATGCATTGATAAACACTTAATTTGGAAAACTTTAAAGGCAATTTTCTTAATATTTTTAAATCCCTCAGATAGATTTTCAAATAACTGTAATTTAGTTATATTTCATCTTTGCGTCAGTTATGTGTATAAGAAAGCGAGTGATTAAATTCATAAATGCACTATTTCACCAAATGCCCTGTTTGATTTATTGTGATATGAACCACATATTCAACTAATATGTGTTCTTGGTCATTAACCTAAACCTTACAGTATCTTACTGTACCAGCAACTTTTCAAATGAGCTTTGAATGCTACCATGTTTTTACTAAAACAGAAAAAACTTTTGGAATTTCAAATTACAACAAAAAAAACTTAATAAATAATGTACATATTGTATATATTTATATATGTTTTCAATATGTATGCAATTTAAAGGTATCAGATGAATAATATTCAATTCAAGCTTATTTGTAAACTGCTTCTCACAATTATTGTATCAAAGCAGCTTTAAACAAGGTGAACATTATTGCTTTATGATCAAATTCAGAAAAGTTGTGACGAAAAGTAAAAACTATATTATTTAATTATAACTTTAATTAAACAGTAACTGATTAACTTTTAACAGTTAAGGTTATTACACATAAACATAGTTAGCCTGCAGTTAAATAGTATGTACTGTAGGTGATGTTTATGTGTACATCTTCAATGAAGTAAACTTGTGTATTAAGTTTTTGTGTTGTCCTCAATGGTTGGCATCATCTTCTCCCAGGTCTTGGATCTTATCAAGTGGCACTGCACAATCTCTAGAGGCCTCGGAATGAGTATCCCCAGGTGGAAATAGAGAAAAAAGAAAATAATTAGCGTAGCTGCAGTTCATAATGTATTTAAACAAGAGATATTACATGGCGATGCAAAAATGAAATGGTATAAATGAAAATAGGAGTTCTATAAACAAACATAGAAGTATTTATGACAAAGTGCCTGGTGTATTAAGACAGGAAGAGTGTGTCCTACAAGTGGTTTGTCAAGCCCACTTACCTGCAAGTACCACACTCACTCATTCTACAGTTGTGTAATGCATTGAGTGTATGCTTTACTAAAAAAAAATAAGTCTTTAATCTTGTTTTAAACTGCGAGAGTGTGTCTGAGCCTCGGACATTATCAGGAAGGCTATTCCAGAGTTTGGGAGCCATATATGAGAAAGCTCGATCTCCTTTAGTGGACTTTGCTTTTGTGGGGAGTTTTGAGATCTTAAAGAGTGGGTTAAATTGTACCGAGACAGAAGGTTGGTTAGATAAACAAAAGCTAGATTATTTAAAGCTTTATAGGTAAGCAGTGATATTTTAGAATCAGACAGCCAGTGTAAGGAAGATAAAATTGGAGTGAAATGGTCATGTAAGAGTTTACATTAAGAATGTTTAATCAGATCATTGCCAATATTAACCTTATTGAAATTTTGGATTAAAATCATTTAGCCTATAATTATTATTACCCAAACTATTTGTGAAATCATTAAAAAAGACAACATAAAACTCTGAAAACTTTTCAAACAATGTTTATGTTACTTACATAAATACTGCAAACTATATCAACTGCAAAAGGTCATTTTATTAATGCTGCAGTAGCTTAAAAAAAGTCCTAAAGTGTATGATATATGAAAATGCCTTAATATACTGATATAAGTTCATATTGGATATGCACCTTTGATACCTAAAGCTCTTCCATATACATAGTCCAAAATTACTTCAATAATCTTCAATAATTTACGGTCATTTTTCTTCAACATTAACCGTCAAAAAAGAATTAAACAAAGAAGTTTATTTTGAGTCCTTTAAGCATTTGCAAGTATTCATTCACTGCCTAAAAGCTACAGTATGACTTTTTGGGTAGATTTTTACATGCATTAAACATGCAAACCTCTATCATTGCTTACTGTCAGAGTTTCTTTTTTGGTTGAACACAAAGGCTCAAAACATTTTAAAAACCCATAACCACTTGACTTCCATACTATTTGTATATATTACAATGCAAGTCGATGGTTACCAGTTCCTACAGTAACATTCTTCAAATAATCTTCTTTTTGTGTTCAACAGAAGTACATAATAAGCAAATGTCAATTTTTTTTTTATGTGTACTATCCTTTTAAATGTACATTACACAATCTTTAGGGATGATCTGACCATGCTAATCTAAAGTTTATTCTACATTCTATCTACAATCTCTATTCTATCTACACACAAAGTGCATCAATGTTTAAAACGTGCATAAATGACTGAACGATGACTTCAAACTCAAACCTACTCCTCTCTCGCATGGCTTACAAAACTTGAACTTTGTAGTTTCTTGACTATCTCTCACTTTCCAAAAGCCCTCTGCATGTAGGCAGCGCTGCAAGATACCACTTCCTTGCCTGATCTTTTTTTTTCTCTCCTCTCTTTTTGGTTTCCCGCCTGTTTGAGGAAGTAGCACAAAGACACACAGAGACAGAGAGAGAGAGAAAGAAAGAGAGTGAGACATGCAAAGATTAAAACTCAAAGTAGAAACCTGTATGAACATAGATAACACAGACCAACTTCAAATATAAACTGATTATCAGTAATGTAAAGTCAAGACAGTTTGCATAGGCCTGAAGAATATAGCACATCAAAATGACAAGAATCAATTCCTCATTTCTTTACTTCTCTTTAACACTTTAAGAGAATCTGTGGGAAAACACTTACAATATTTTACATTCTTTTTTGTCAGATGCATCACTTCATGGTACAAAAAAAGAAAAAGTCAGACATTAAAAATCCAACTTCCTGCTAAAACTTGCGGTGGTGATAGCAAGTATTAGTGTAAACGTTCCCAGGCTAACTATCTGCTCTGGCCAGGTTCATGTTTTAAAACTGCTTCTTTACTTTAGGTTGGCTTTAGGCACATTATAGCAGGTCAGGCTAAAGAAAATGCTAATAAGTTGGTTACCAAAAACAAACACAAACTTTGTTGCTACAATAAAACTGTATGTGGTGGGTATTTAGCTGAATCAAAAAGGATTAACCACTTCCTGGGTGGCTGTTCTGTCTGTCAAAAGTACATTTGCAAATCTGCAAATGCAAATCTGACATGTAAACACCTCCTACATTAATCAAGTGTAGTGGATGAGTAATTCAGGTACTGCATTGTGAAGCATTTAAAGCAACATTTGTTTATCGATGTTTAAAATGATTTACTGCTTATTTAAGTTACTTTAAAAAAGTATATATTACAACCTTGAGCCTATTTTTTGATAAATAATCCTCTAAATAGTACTTCAAGAGTTCACACTTAGATATTGCTTGACAACTGTTAGCAGGTTTGGCATGCTGTCCCGGGAGAGAACCCTGAGCTCTGAGATAGTTGAGCCCAGGGTTCCCGCCAGGTCCATAGAGCATGTAAGGGGAGTACGAGATCAGGTGGTTCTCGAGCGCTCCCCTTTTTTAAAG